GGCTTTTCAGCTCGCTGAAACAAAATTCAGCCTGTGCCACCCATCATTTCTGGTTGGCTCTGAAATGTGGAAGGGTGTCACTGGCTGAGCATCCACCCCTCTGAAGGGTTGTAGGGCAGGGATTCATTCCGTCAGGGCAGGACTTTTTGCAGAGAGAAGTCTGCTCCCCCTCAGTCCTGGCTGGTGTCAGGGGTATCGGAGTGCTTCTGCCTTTCTGGTGGCCCTGCCACACTGCAAGGTGAGAGCTGCTGCTGAAGGGCTGTTGAATTAGAAATAGAGCGTGCTCTTCACAGCCAGAGTTGATGGTTGTGGTTGAGGGGATGGTGTCCTCTGTTTTGGAACCAGGAGGAGAAGGCAGCTTGGAGTGAAGGCATTTAAAAGAACAGGGCCAGCACAGTGCTGCAGAGGGTAATTATTAGCCCCAGTGTGGCTCCCCGGCGGATGCTGTACCCCTGCTGAAAACATTTGTTCTGGCCCTAGCTTCAGTGAGCCAGAATGCTTCTCCGCCCTTCCTTACTTTTAATCATTGCTGCGTTTTGCTCTGATGGGCTTTGCTGGCAAATGCCTGACTTGAAGGAAAGCTGATGTTAAAGGCGTGCAGATTTATTTGAGAGAAAAAGTTGGTTTTCCTCCTGTTTCCTCCTCCTGTCTTTCCAAAAAGGCCTGGGAAGGTCCCAGCCCTGTTTCATCCAACCTCCCCCTGAAATCAGTGCATCCAGTGTGCTCCCTCCAGACGTGCATGCCAGATGGAGTGGTGTTTCTCGGGGAAGGGCCCCATGTGTGTCCAGGGGAGACTGTGTGCCACAGAGCGTATGTTATGCTTTCGTCTGGCAAGAGCTGCAGGCAGTGACCACCTGGGATCGCTGATGTGTCTGGGCTGAGGGGACAAGCGCTTAGGCTGAGTTGTCACACCCTGCCACTCAGTGTTGACTCCAAATGCCTTCACCTTGTTAGCAGCTGGGGCCGTTGCTCCATGCTGGATCTGAGCTCTTCTCCCATAAAGCAAAATGCCTTTCTTCCTTGGGACAAACCAGAGAATTTTTTCCACAGGAGTTTGCTAAAAAATGAATTGTGTCCCAAGGTTTAAGGCACCTGAAACTACAGTTACTCATGCAGAGGTTTCCAGTTGCAGCCTAGGAGACTGGGAGAGTGCAACATTGGGATGTGAGGTGTCTGTGTCTTCACCATTATGTTACTGGCCTTGCAGCCATTCCCCAACTGTATGTTGCTGTGGAGGGTTTCAGTTTTGGTGAAACCCAAGATGGAGGAGGCAGGGAATAAGTGAATCTAGAATACTCTTAAACAGATCAAGTGTGCTAAGTGCTGAGCACGACACGATTGAGATGCCTTGGCATTGGAAGCTAAATCACTGTAGAACTGGTTGATAATGAAATAAGTGAAGAAATAAAACGTTTCAGACTCTGTCTAGCTGTTACGGTGTGTAACGGGAAACCAGCTTTACAGATGTTACAGTCTGCCCGTGTTTCATCCGTGATCGTGGAGGGATGGCTGCTCCTGTTGGAAGGTATTGAATTTACCATAGCAGCTGTTTATCAAATTGCAGTAATTTCTGCTGGATACACTGGTCACAGCCTGTGTGCTTTCACTGTGAACCTGAGGATGCTTTGGCAGAAGGAGGGAGAATGTGTCAGAAGTGCATTGCTGGAGACAGAAATAAGAAGGTCTAAGGACCTGGTTTCTGGCCACAGCTCATGCACTGTGAAACCAAAGGGGTCTGGTTTATTGTAGCTTCTGTTTCCTGTGTTTTCTGATAGTAGAGATTAATGTAAGAGTCTCTGGATGAAAATGAGCAGCCGTTGCTGTACAGGCAATTACCAGTAGTATCATTACAGTCCCTTTTGGCCTTGAATCCAGGATTAGGGGCAATATAATCTATTACATTTTCAGCCTACTTTTGTCAGTGGAGGTTTCTCATTTTTATGTGATAAAGAGTAAAGCTGCACGAGAAATCCGTGTCCAGTTTTGCTCTGCATCACAAAGCCCTTTCTTGGCTCTATTTAGCTGGTAATGCTGCTGTGGACTCTTTATGTGTAGAAACTGTAGACTGCGGAAGGCAGACCTATTTGCAGCCTTGGTCACTCCTAGCCCTTGATTAGAGTCCTTTACAAGCATTTTACAGAGGGAGGCAAGTATTATCTGTGTTCAGCAGCTGGGGAGACTGAGGCATGGAAGGAAAATGGTGCACCTGGAGAGACTTGGAGGTAAGAGGAGATGTCAGCCTTTCCCCTGAGTAACACCCCACCAGACACTGCTAAAATGACCTGTCCCAAAAGCAGTTTGCAGTAGTCATGCACAGGGCGTCTATATTTCCTAGGTCTTCAGTGGCGTGGGCACTGAGTCTTCTCAACACCTAAAAAACTTGAGAACTGGTCACTTTAATGTTAACAATCTGATATTTTCCTGAACAAGAGGCTTATGTTACAGACAACCTATATTGTTGATTTCATTGCATTCTTGTACCTATTACGTAATAAGCTGATAAACAGTCGGAATAACTGAAGAAAGCATCCCTTATTCTTTTACCTGTTATGTGTACGGGGATCCCTCTATCAGGATGAAGTTTTAAATCAGTAAGCTTGGAAGATAAGGTTTCTTATGCAGCCTTGTTGGCTAGTTTTGGTGAGCAGGGGAAAGAGCACGCTCTCCTTCTTGCTGGGTGTTCCTCCTTCACATCCCAGCCACTGCTGCAAGAGGAAAAACAGAAGCTGGGAGCTGCCGTACTGTTTATTTCACTAAGTGGCAGATGCTGGCACTTCCTTTCTTTCTAAACTTATAGTGGTTTGCGGTAACGTTGACTCTTGTAGTGCACTGGTTCCTAGCAGGGTGCAGATGTTTCTTGTCAGCTTTGGCCATCTTTCAGGGCTATAAATATTGCCTTTAATAAAGAGCAGTGGTGAAACAGGGCTGTTATTTATGAGCGAGGCTCTACAAGTTGGCATGGCTTTTGAAGCAGCTTTTGTACGTGGAAGGCTCCATAGATGTGTTAGCTCACCTGGTTATCCTTTGCTCTTGTCAATTGTTAGAGCTGGGAGTTTGAAACCAGTCATGCCTGATTTGAACGGACAAGGTGCTGCTTGGGGCGTGTGTCAGAGGACTCTGGAGTTTGCTTTCTTCACAAGTTTGAAGCAGACCAAATTTAGAGAATTTTGGTCATTGGCTAGTGCTTTTGGAAAAGGCTCAGGAGGCATTTCCCACAACAACACTATCAGGAGGGGCTTTTTTTGTTTCCCGGGGTAGCTGGTGGTCAGTGATGTTAATGCTGTGGGAATTGTATTTGCGGTATTAATCCCCTGCACTGAGACTAAGCCCCTTTTGTTATAGCACCTTATTATTTACACTGAAATAAATGCAAAATCAAATCCCCAGTACTTGTAGGAACAGGTTAGATATCTGTTTTCCCCAGTGCTTGTTAAAAAAAACTTGTACCCACAGTGTGGATGTGTGATACTTTTGATGTTGTAGCAGCACTAGGAGGATGGAAACAGAGGTGAAATGTGCAAGTCTCCTTCCTGTAGGAGCACCACATACCTCCTTCTCTTAAACTGTGTGTGGGAAGAGAGGTAGAGCACAGGTGATGATTTGTGTGGAAGGAGGCATGCAGAACAGCAAAGATTTTTATTTTAAGCTCACATTATATGAAAATCTCATCCTTAAAATGGTTAATAACTGGCTAGCAGACATTTCAGTAAATGGCTGGATAATTGTTACTGGAGCGCAGTGATCGGTTGTTCTAACCGTAGCTTGTCAAGCTTGAAGATTACAGTGGTATATGAAACCGTGGTATGTTAAAGTGTTGTGTTTAAAATCATCTTTAACTCATTCCACTCATATCTGCCCTGCGCATGACCCCTGTTGATCGTTCATTAGCCCTGTGTAAACGAGGATTTAGTGGAAAGAATTTCTGTATAGTTGTTTTTTTTTTTTAAACAGAAATGCTGTCACGCACACAAATGCACTCACAGAGCTGAGGTTTTGCAAGAATTTTCACGCCGGTGTCAGAGAAAAGCTTTTCCAAAGTTAAAAGCCTGCCTGTGTGCAGGGGTGTGTATGTGGGTGTGCACTTTCTGGTATGGAGGGCTCTTGCCTCTTTGAGGGGAGAAGCAAAGCAGGCACACAGCTCAGCCAGAGCTTTCCTACTGTAGTAGAGGTAGGAGGAATCTATAAATGCATGACTTATGTAAAGTGCCTTGGGATTGCCATGCTGAACATCCTGACTTTGAGCAGCAGATGAGGGAAATTATTGCCACCATGAGGGAGCAGGAGAGCAAGCAGTTCTCCAGGCTGGCCTGGGTGGCTTCTGTCTCTGTCCAGCTCCCCAAACTGGGATTCTTGCTTCGAGTCCTGCTTTTTCTAGCAGTGCCTCCCTGTGGGATGCCCGCTGCTCATGGGTGGCACGGAAACCACTGAGACTTCTGCGGATGTTATTTTAGATTTGGGGAGTTATATTGTTTCCAGGACAACTGGGGAAAAATGAGGAAGGGACTTGTGCAGAGTCAGCTTGGAGCTACTGAACAGCCTGTCTTGCTTGCTGCATTTTCCCTTGGAAAATGGCTAGTGGCCTAGTTTTAGAGGGACCCCTTCAAGCCAAGCAAGTGATTGAGTTAAAAAATACTACTGCAAGAAGCAAATGAGGAGGCAGTGTTGTCAGGTGCAGTTGTAGGCTGGTAATAGCAAACAGCTTTCTGTGAAGTGAGCCCAAGTTGTGGACACTCAGCACGCTCAGAAGGTGAGTGCAGAGCAGAATGTGTTTCTTGACTGGAAAGCCCATATTTGGGTCTCCATGTTTAACTCTCCTCACCTCTGATGACTGCTAAATAAATGTCCCTGTTCTACACAGCTCCTTCAATTAAGTGAAATTTGCTATATTGTGTAATCGTGCCTCTGTAGCATTAATTGCCTTCTATTCTAAGAGGAATTAAATCCTTCTTGAAACTGTAATGTCATACTTTTTTTCTTTCCATGTTCTTTCTGTCTCATAGCAATGCTGAACTGCAGAATATGGTGTTAGACTCCAGTGCTGCCATGGGAAGCAATGAACTTCAGAATAAAGATGCCGCTGGAGCCCTTGGCCACGATCTCAGCAATGGCAGCAACAGCGATTTGGAAGCAGCCAGGCGGCTGGCTAAGCGCCTCTACCACCTGGACAGATTCAAACGCTCTGATGTGGCAAAGCATTTGGGTAAAAAGTATGTGGTGGTATGAGGCCTTTGGCCACATTGTTCTTCTTGCTGATTCTGGAGGGGTTCACTCTCAAATGATAACCTGTACTTATTTATTTGTTTGTTTAAAGCAATGAATTCAGCAAGCTTGTGGCCGAAGAATACCTTAAGTTTTTTGACTTCACAGGCATGACGCTGGACTACTCGCTCAGGTACATGCCCGTTTGCTGAACTTATGTTCTTGTTTGAGTAACGGTGCTGTTTGCTGTGTTGTCCTGATTGAAGTGGGTGCCCTGTGGGGATTAAGAGGGTCAAGAGAGGGATGTGATGCATTTTTGGGATGGAGCCTTTCTCTTCTGTTTGGCTTGGCATGCTGCTATACTCCAGAGTGCTGTTGGAGCGGTGGCATTTCCTGGAGAGTGAAGTCTTCGGGTGGACTTGCTTAGAGATGGTCCTTGATGCAGAGGAGATGGAGAAAAATGACCAGTCACTCAGTAAACAGGGGACTTGCAGTCTACCAGGTGCTGTTGGGGAATGAAAGTGCTGCTCACGGCTAAGCTGCACAGACTTTTTGGCTGATGCCTTGTGGAGCTTGCTCTGCCTGGCTGCAGTGCACGAAGCCAGGGCCAGGATTTGATGTGGCTCAGCAGCCCCCCTTGCTGCTATGCAGAACAGCAAAAGCTTCCACATGGAAAATGCCGTTGAGAGTTTGGTAGCTGCCAGCGTGGGTGTTTGAAAACCCAGCCCTTCAATTTTCCTTCCTTTTTTTACACTGGAGTTAAGCCTCCATGTTGTTTGTTTTCAGTATTATTTTTCTTAGGAGGCAAAACACGAAGTTTGTGTAGCAGTGGCCTGTTAGCATGGTTGCTGCTGTTCTGGTATTTAAAGGAATTTAAAGTGAGTTTAGATCATCTGGCTGAGGTTACTCAAGTGAATTATTGTTTTTTGCTAATGATACAAAACCAGGAGGTCTGCACGCCCCTGCCAGTCTCCTTGCAAATGCATTTCCCAGGGAGCTGATGCCAGGAGACTGTGGCAGATCCCAGGGAAAACCCAGGAGTCCTGCCTGCCAAAGGTGGTGGAAAGGAAACACACTTGTGGAAGAGTGACCCGCCTGCTCCCGTGGCAGGGCGATCAGAGCCAAGCCGGAGCACTCGCTCAGCGCAGTGCAGGAGGAGCTGGGGTGGTGGGAGGTCTGCTGCTCCTTCCGGGTTTTAGCAGCCCTGAAGCACGATGCTAAATATACCCATCTTTTAAATTGTGAAATCCAACACCTAATTGCTTTGTGGCACATATTTAGGAGGTCTCTGCTCCCAGTAGATCTCCTGTTGATATTAATAGTCATGACCTTCTCTAAAATATGTCCTGGCTCATGTGGGACTTAGACACGCCAGTGGTTTGCTGAGGTTTAAGAGTAGCTGCAGTGACTGCTGGCAGCATGCCCTGAGGGCGTGACAGAGCGTGGTCCTGAAGCATGGGGGAGCCAAGGCGTGCTGCCTCACGCTTGCAGAGAGTGAGAGGTAACTGCCCTGTTGCTGCTGGCTTGCTCACAAGCTGTGATTTGTTAAGCATTTTGGAGCCCGTGGCAGCAGCCCAGACCCATGCTACCCTCAGGCTGTGGGACACTGTTGTGCAGTGCATATCACTGTCGGTGGCAAGTCTGTGATATGGGGAGGGTTGTTCCTTCATTGTACTGCTCTTCTTTCACACCCTGGACCCACATCACCCATGCATCACCCGAGTGCATCTCTCATGTTGTCTGCAGAACCACACAAGGCGGGGAGGTGGGACCGCTGTTCTAGCCCCTCTCCAAGTCCATCCCGGTCCTCCCGGTTCCCTCCAGAAACTTGCTTCCCTGGCCCTTGGCCACAGCATTGTGCTCTGAGAGCAAAGAACCTGCCTTGGTTTCATCACTTGTCTCTCCGAGGTGGCTTCCAGGGGGTTAAAGGTGCTGAAGAGGAGGAGAGGGTGTAGGTTGATGATGCCTGGCGTGAGGAGGGGGTGTCGCTGGAAAGAGCCTGAGCTGGAGGAGGAGGAAAGATGGGTAGTTGTCAAAATGTCCCATGAGGTAGGAAGGGAAGAGAAACCCTGCGAAGACTCAGTTGTATCTACTTGTGAATTGAGTTATTTGCAATACATTACATGTGAAATTAAGTTATTACCAGGCAGATCACACTCCGTATGGGTGCAAGATGGTTGCAAGTACAGCCTTGTCTCTGACCTTACATCAAAGAGAAAAAATTAATGTTTATTCGTCCAGGCTAGATAGATGTGAATGTTCCAGCAACACATTCCATGTCTCACAGATCTGGTGTTAGTTTCAGTCTCGTGGGGTATTTAAAAATTATCTATTAGGCGCTCACTTAGTATGCCATCTTGCTTTGGACCCAGAAGGCTTGTGTTTTCAGGCTTTTCTTAGAAGCATCCTGACAAATGAGTGTAGGCAGATACCGCTGAGGTCGTCTCTTGGCTCCAGAATGTGGGGATTTTGGGAAGCGCAGAAGTTCTTCTTTGGCTGTGAGGCACGTTTTTCTTGCAGGAAGAATAGCAGCATGGTTAAGAGGCGTGGTTGTTAAGCGTTGGATGAAGAGTGGAAGAAGTGTGTGTGTCCCACCTCTTTACACAGGCTTGCTGGCTATGTCTAATGAGCACACACAGGTGTGCACCAGGCCTGTGTCCTGGACTGTCATGAGCAGGAACCCAGGAGGTCTAGGTTGCTCCTCCCACTGTTGAAGCTCAATGGGAGATGTTGTGACCTCTTCCCCAGATGTTTTCTGCAGGTCAGGTAGTCACACTGCCTTCTGCAAGGTGACTGGTGTTGTGCTGGCTGCTCTGGTAGGTGACCCTCCAGCAGGAGGCCCGCACATGAGTCTGCAGTGCAGCCACCCACTTGACTTCACTGCCTGCAGTAGCTCCTCTTATTTGTATGGGAATACTAGTGAGTATAAAGTTAAAAGGTGCAGGGGTGACAGACGATTAGAAAACTACAGAGAACACCCTGGATGTCTGTCATGCATAAACAACACCTGCTCCAGTTCCTTCCCCAAAGAAAATAAAAACATTAAAAGTAAGAACAGCTCTTTCAAGTGCTGTAATTGCTTATTAGTTTGTATATTCTGTGGCTGACATCAGAGGTAATTTAATTCCTCCTTCATTTAGTATAATGTTGGGATTAACTGCACATGGGATAATAGACTGTTTTCCTAGAAAGGCTCCTTGGAACCAAATGTCTAGTGTGCGCTTATGTACTTCTTGCTCTGAAGTGTGCTTTGCTATGTGCACTGTGAGGCAAAAAAAGATTTATGACTTTAATTTCACCGTTTTCTGCTCTTCTTTTAGGACTTTCTTTAAAGCCTTTTCACTTATTGGAGAAACTCAGGAACGAGAGAGAGTTTTAATCCACTTCTCCAGCAGATACTACCAGTGCAACCCAAACACCATTTCTTCTCAAGGTAACTTTGTTTCTGATATGAATGTGTTTGGTGGTCTCCCTCTTCTTTCATTCTCGCCTTCAGTAGCATGTATGCTGCATACCTGGGAATTGAAGGTATGTAGTTGCCGTGCCACACTTTAGAGACTGCCTGTGGTGAGTATTGAAACCCTCCACATTTCTCCACTCATAATCATGATAAGGCAGTGAAAAATCTGTATTTATCCCCAGTCAGGAAAGATGTTTAGACCTACTCAGTTGTAGCATCTTCAAATTTGAATATCCTCACTTGCGGTTTCTGGTCTCGCTGACCTCCAGCATGTATGGGTACCTGTACTGTCTCATCTCAGGTGGAAAAGAAGCTGTTTGATTTCCATGCTCCGTTCAGTGCTTGTGTCTCTGCATGCACTGGCAGCAGGCATGCCAATTCTTGCCAGTTGTGGGGGTGAATTTTGGGTGCTGTATCCAGACCCTGGCAGGGTTTCAGCTCGACTAGCTAACATCAGTCGGAGTCCTGCCTCCTTGCCAATGTTTTTAGTCATTTTGGAAGTGGATGGGGAAACAAACAAGCACACTGATCAAACCTGAGAAAGTTGTCATTGGAGAAGAGGACAATCTGTCCGCTGGCACAGCTGTTGCGTTCAGCCAGCCATGCTGGCAGAGGCATGTGGCCCTGTGGTTGCAGTGCAGGCTGATCACACGCTTAGAAAGGGAGGAGGGCAAGAAAGAAAATAAGCACATGCTAAACTGTGCCTTTAGTTTCAAGTGTAAGTGAGAAGGAGCTGCTACACTTGGAGGTACACACTTGGGCCACACTTCCTTACCACTTGCTTTGTGACCTGCCCCTGTTGCAGTGAGGTGAAGTTTGTCCACTTTGCGCCTGTTCAGCTTTACTGGCTGGCGTGCTGGGGAGGGGTGCGACTGGATCTGCTCCTATGCTATATCTGTCCTCTTCCTAATGCCTTTCTTGTTTCAAGACACCACAGGCAGTCAGTCAGAGTAGGTGTGTCGTGTCCAGATTGCAATAATAACTTGCACGTTGATGTGGCAGCCTTACTCTAGGGTCCAGGAGGGACATTGCCACTTCTGAGCCTGAGTAAGCATTTAGATTAAAGTGAGCCCTGCAGACTTTGCACAGGTTTCTATATAATTCTGATGTTGTATTTCTGCTGTCAGTAGTTGAGTGCTATACTGCAGAGGTATAGTGCCTGCTCCTTTTAGTGGAAATCCAGGATTGCATTTGCCTTTCTCTTTTCTCCTTTCTGTTTTCCATCCTCTGGATGCATTTGCGGTTTAGAAATGAGAGGACAGGCTACTCTAGAGAAATGCATATACCTGAACTGAAGCACCACAGCCCCAGATTCAAGCTGCTTCAGATTTATTACTGCTGGTGATAATAGTTCTCTCATTTCATGCTCTGCTACAGTTTGGCCACGTTGCTTGGTCCTGTACAAACATCGTAAGAAAACAAGGTCCTTACCTTGGGGAACATCTTTTTGTAGTGTCTTCATCTTGCACATATTTAAGCCTATGATAGTCACACTGACTGTGAGAGATATCTATCCTCATCCCTCCTTCCTTTTGCTTCACAGCACAGAGGGATCTGTCATTATCTGGATGTGGCTACAAAGGTTTTACGTACATCTCTCTGCAGTGTGTGCGTGTCTCATAAATGACTCTGTGTCTTTGACACCCCTGTGAGAGAAGGGAAGGTGGTACCGTGTGTTTATGAACAAGAGAATGGAGAAAATATTTTTCCTAATGTGTTCCTAATGTTTGGAAACTGGCTAGAGGCATCTGGATTTTTAGAGGTGATAAAATGCACCGCAGGTGCTGTCACCTTCATCTGGATTTGTGCACAGCCAATACATTTTGGGTTTTGAAAGGAGCACCTGGAAAATGAGGAATATGAAATTGGTATCCACTTTTGCAAATGACAGTCTACACTGACTTTCCCAAGTCTGCCACAGTAACTTCAGTTATGTAGCTGCATGTACAGTCTGTCTCTTCTAGCTCATTGTTGAGGGCCTTTGCTGCAGAACCACCTTAGGAATTGCTGGAGCACTCTCTACCCAATGTGGAGCCAAGGCAGCATAAATAGCTGACTGAAGTTCTCCAAAATTCAGTCTAACTGAGCCCTGAATGAGGAGCGGGCCAGAGGGAAAACAGGATACCATGCTGTATCTGCTCTGCACACAAGAATGGGTGTATTTTACTGTTCCCCTTCTGCCCTGAAATACATGAAGAAGAGGGAGCTGATTCAGGCTGTGGTATTGGTATTAGGAATGGGTGATGGTGTGGTTTCCTGTCTAGTTTGCTTCAGCCATGGGTGCTGCAAGATAGTTTTGACAGTCATTAAAAGATGAGAGGAAGGCTGTCCTGGCTTGGCAGCAGCAGGATGACCTCACTGTTCATTTATTTAATTATGTGTATTTCTTGATAAAACAGATTCTCATTAGGGGAACAGACTCAATTAGGCTATGAGGCTCCATTTCAGTTGTTCTTAAAGGTCCAGGTGAGGATTCGCATGTGACTCTGGTTATGTCTCTTTCTGCAGATGGAGTTCACTGTCTCACGTGTGCCATGATGCTGCTGAACACAGACCTGCATGGCCATGTGAGTATGCACAGCTTTGCGTAGACTGCTCCTATTGACACTGTGCTTGGAGGGGGTCGTCTTCTAGCAGCAGATTCCCTTTGTTGGTGGCCTGCTCCTAAACCACCCTTGCGGACAGCAAACAGTGAGAAGGCTGTACTCCCAGACTGTTGTCCTGGGCAGGGCTTTCCAGCATGCCCAGATCAGTCATATGTAAGCCTGGCATTGTGCCGGGTTTTGCCATAATGTGTGAGGATGCTCCTTGTCCTCAGGCCCATGTCTTTCTGGTGTGCTTCACATCCTTCCCTGGCTACAGCAGCTGGCCCTGGCCAGGAAGCTGTGGTTTTGATTGGCCTCCCTTTTCCAGTATGTAAAAACATTTGGGAAGGCAGAAGAAAGGAGGGAGGTGAAGAGGTGCTGGGAAGGTCACAAGGGGAAGGTCATGTGTGCAGGCATCCAGTGGTAGGGGGAGATCTGGTGGAACCAGCGTTCTACTCAGCCAGGGTAATGATGGGTGTGCCCAAAGCCAAGAGAGTGGAGGGGGGATGTGGGCATCCTGAGTGGGAGTGCTGTTGCCCCACTGCACATCTCTCTCCACTGCTTGCCTGGGGGAAATATCATTTCAGTTTGAGTCCTCTTAGTCACACCAGTACGGGTTGCCAGCAGTCGTAGGACACGTATTTCAGCACTCCTGGTGCAATATGTCTGCTCTGTATGATATTCCCATGCTGATAGGATCCTTGAGTTGGGATGGAGAGGGAAAAACACAGGGAGCATGGCATGACAGCATGCAGGAGCAGTGGCTTCAGCCAGGTGGCTTTGGGGCTTTTCTCTGCCTGAGGCCCTCCACTGCACTGCCAAGGACTCTTCCAGAAGGGCCTCAGTTGGGAGCTCTTACGCAGCGGGGGTGGTGGGTCGGGCAGCGGGAGGTGGAAGCACCCTGGGTCTGTCTCTAAGGCCTGCATGGCCCCTGTGGGTGCTGCTTTACTGTGGGTGCAGGTAATGAAGCTGAGGCTTGTGTGTGCTTCCCCAGGGGTTTTGACGCCTACCTCCCATTAATTGAATGCCTTTGTCTGAAAATTGTAAAAGTGGGAGGGGAAGGGAGTTGTGAAGAATTTTTTCTCTGAAGGCTGAGCCTTCCCTCACTGAGGAGTGCGTCAGTCACGTGGGAGGGTGAATGAGGGTATGGGAATGTGCCCTGGTGTGCCTTTTGGCACACACCGCTTCTCTTGATCACACCTGAGACTGCCTGCACAGGTGTCCTGCTCCCAGAGTGATGAGCAGCCTGAGGCACTTGCCCTCCAGCCTGCCTGGCCTTGCAGTCCAGGGCGGGAGACTAAATGGTTGTGTGTCAGCCTGACAGTGTTTCCTGTTGCTCCCTGCGATGCTTTAGTGGGCCTTACTGTCTTCAATAGGTACTTGAGTAAATGATTTGTATCTGACCCATCTGACTCTGGCTGTTGCAGCGTGCAACTTTGGAGGCTTATCCTACTGGTAGTCGTTAATACCCTGTTACATGCACGAAGCTGTAATGTTTGCCAGACTCCTGCATGTGTCTCCCCTCTCTTTCTGTCTCTCCCTGCCCCCGTCCTCCCCCAACCCTCCTCCCCCTGCCACCCTCTCCCCACTTTCCTTTAATTTTGATCTTCCTCTTACTGTTTTGCATTTTTCCACACAGGTGGTAAGTTGGGCATTTTTGACTTGGAATGCAGCACCTTGCAGATATACACTAATTGCCTGTTTCCTAACAAAGATAATGCTCTGACCCATCCTTCGCATGATTCTGCTAGAGCAGGAAGCGAATGAGTCACAGGGCTCATCTACATGGAGTTCCATTTGTTGCTGACATACTGATCATAAGTGCGGACTCTTTTATTTCACAATAATCTCAACTACTTGTAGGGCTGTAGTGCAGCTGCTCTGCCTTCAGTTCACACTTTCCCTTAACTCTTGTAGACAAACTTTTATCCCTTTATTTATGCCTGTCTTGCCACATTTCATTCTCTTTGTAACTAAATCGTTTTTGCTAGCTGTGTCTTGGACATGCATGCTCGCTTCTTTGCAGGGAGGTCATCACCCAGGCTGTGATGCTAGAGGCTTTTAAGGTATCTCTAGACTGCCAGGCACATCTTCTGTAACCTGTGTGGCACTGTGTGGAGGTGTTAGCTTTGGTCCTGGAGCAAAACAGGCATTTGTCTGCAATGCCAATTATCTCTGTGAGTGAAATGTGCCACACTGCTGTTGGCTTTGGTCAGCATGGGGAGGCTGCAAACTGCCATGTGGAGGAACCAAACAGAAGCAGGCTGAAGTCTGTTGCAGGGAGGAAGGAAAGCATTTGCAAGTCTAGTAAAACAGCTCTAGCATGTACCCAAAGACTGCAATTACAAGCTGTATTCTGCAAGCTTAGCAACCAGAGAGCCAGGGTTACAGCCAGACTGTGTTGTCAGGAGCCTTCATGATGTGGGAAGCAGTGCATCATGTGCCTCTCCAGAAGTATCTCCTCTCTTGTGGAAAGCAGCGTTCCTGTCTGCTGTCTTTCTGCTGGTCTGTGCTGGCCACAGGCTGCAGGATCTTCCTTTGTGGGTACATGAGGCTGACGGTCAAGGTTTGCTGTTTTTCCATCTCTCCCTGATCATACATTATGGAAGGGAAGTAGAGGATGTGCGGTCCAAGCTGTCATGTAACTGTAACATGGAATGACCTGTAATATCACAGAATCATAGAATGGTTTAGGTTGGAGAGAAACCTGAAGATCATCGAGTTCCAACCCCCCTGCCGTAGACAGGGACACCTCCCACTAGACCAGGTTGCCCAGGGCCACATCCAGCCTGGCCTTGAACACCTCCAGGGATGGGGCCTCAACAGCCTCTCTGGGCAACCCGTTCCAGTGCCTCGCCAGTATTACTGACTGGTGTCCTTGGTTGGGCTCCGCTCCTGTGTTAATTTGGGCTCTTGCTCCTAACCCAAGCCACTGTCTGCACCCAAAGCCTTTCTACCATATTTCTGCAGCCATGGCATACCCCGACTGTGTAGAAGTCATCTTCATCTCCTTCTCCTGTCTGGCAGCAGTGGCATCCCCAAAGATACTGTGGTCATCACAGGGCCCTGTTTTCCCACTGCCTTTGCCATGTCTCGCAGGCTGCTTCATCCCAGGCTGCTTTCCTTTCCTCAGGTCTCTCTGAGCTCCTTTTTCACCAGCTCAGTGTTGTCATTGCTGCCTGTTCAGAAGGCTCTCCCTGTGCCAAGCATGGGACTTCTAGCACCCAGTGGACTGAGTACAGACACCTTCTCTGAGGGGTGATGAAGACTGGGATTTGAGCAGTTCAGGGCAGCCTCAAGCGTCCAAATGGTGCATTTTGGGTCCTACATGAACATTGCAGTTCCTTTCCTGTTTGTGGCTCAGTTGGGCAACTTTCAGTTTGAGAAACAGACAGAAAGAATGAAAAGAGAGAAATCCTATGGAAATGTCAAGGCAGCCTCAGCCTGTGAATCAGGAAAGGTAATGGCTGCTCCTGGGCATCTTACTCCAACTCAGGGCAGTTGCTATTGGAAGGGAGCATTGGAAATCTTAAGAGAAAGGTCTGGAAAGGGCCTCAGTTGGCTGTTTTCTTATGCTCCACAGCAGGATCAAGTAGACCTTTTCCATCAGAGGCTGGTAGAGCCTCTGGAGACATGGGGGTGTAAGGCACCGTGCAGATACCAGGGAGCTTCATCATCACCCTCTTCGCTATCCTCCACTGTTTAACTGTTTTTCTTTTCGGATGGGTGTGGGGGACGTGGGGTCTAAATGCACCTTCCCTTCTCTAACCATATTCACACAAGGATATTTGCCTCTCAGTAATCTTGGGAATGCCTTCTTAGTGCTCCCTGCCTTGGGCTTAAATGAGATGCAATTTATCTGATGTTGTTTATTTATGCAATTTTGGAAAGCAGCATGAATATGATGCTGTGTTTTTTCTGCCATCCCCTCCAGAACATTGGGAAAAAGATGACCTGCCAAGAGTTCGTTGCTAACCTCCAAGGGATGAACGATGGCAAAGACTTTCCAAAAGGGCTCTTGAAGGTAAGAAATGAACTGCAGAACAGGGATTTTGTTTTTAGTGAGAGATGGTTCAAAACAGAACACCCTGCTTGTATTTTCTGAATCTTAGTTGTCAGACAGGACAAGTGATGGGCATGTTTCTCCTCCTAGAACATATATAATCCATACGGTGTTTATTCTGTTGTTTTCCGTCTTGCCTTTACTTGATTGTGATTGAAACTCTGCAGCATGGAGAGGTAAGGCTGAACTCCAGTGGGGCCAGCTCTAGAGCCATGTGTCTTGTAAGCTCATGCTGTCCCAGAGTGCTGTCTCCTGATGAAAGTGGACAGAAGCAGCCAATTGGTTCCAAACATTGAATACGTAAGGGCTAATCCTGAGCTCTGTGTATCTGGAAGGCGTGTGTGTTTTTTCATCAAAGGTGCTTTGGGGTTTTCACATTAGAGCAGGAGATGTAATTTCAGATTAGAATGTGTTGTCTGGCACAGGCTGCTTTTCTTTGGGTTTTGTTCATTAAGTTTGTGCCAGGAGTTAAATCTGAAGAACAAGGAAAGAGGCTGAGCAGGACGAATCTTGTTTCATAGTCAATAATAATGAGAATGTTTCATTTCTCTTCTGTCTGATTGCTGGCATGAAACAGCATTCTGTTTGAATAAAGAGAGGAGCGCATACACTAGAGTTCATGATTTTTTTTGGTAATGGAAATAAAAATGAGAGGTTGCTGCATCTGAGAGCTGACCCAAAGCCTACTGAAGTAAATGAAAAGAATTGCTGTATCTTCTGTGGGTTTTGTGTCAGGCCCATTGTGAATGCAGATGTACCTGCATAGTTAACAAGTAGCAGACTTTGTTTTCTAGTATTGGTAGTTTTCTTCAGTTTCTCCAGCCTCTTCAGGGACCTTTTTGTTGGGCCCTCCTGCCTCAGTTCTTACTAAGGAGTTTGGAATATAAACTCAACCCCCTTGTTTTTAGATTTAATGTCTTTATTTTTTAAATCTGGATACAGAGTATTCATCTGACAGCAGCAACATTTAAATTTTTTTTTTTTTCCCAAGGAATCTGATTTCTCACTCTGCCATAGAGAGATGTGTTGAGATTAATTTGCAGGCTAATTACAATCCTTATTGAATAAATAGGTCTCCAGACTGTGTTTAAATAACCTTCTGAGTGTACTGATGAGAG